TTATTCCTTGTGTTATATCTGGATGATCCTCCAGAGTTTGTATCAGAGCTTGAATAGCTCCTTGCACAGGCTATCGCGAAGGTTCTACGCACCTCGACGTGTCTAGTGCGACCAAATCGCGCGATCGAGAAGACCCTGCGCCTTCTCTTACGCTTTTATTTAGTTATGCCAAATGTCTGGGTTAAATTAATTATGAAGCTTTTACAATATTTCGCGGCGCCTCTGTAAAGAGGTCGCGGCTCCCCGGGGCGCCGCGGCGCACAGTTTGGGAATCACTGCTTTGAAGTGAAATTAAGTGAATTATATGAGATCAGAATATAGATAAAAAGTTGCACTAACAGCTGATAAAAAAGGGACTTAAAATTGCGCGGCATCGACATGCATAATAAGGCTTAAGAATAAGAATAAGAGCCAAAATAATAATAATAGTGATAATAATGAAGATCAATATAATTTATTTATGGTCACCAGCAATATGACTCGAACAATAAAAATAATGTGTCCCACCGGAGCCGAAATAACTATAATAAGGTGTTAATTATGCGGATCAATATAATTTATTTATGTTTACCAACAAGACAACGTACTGTGTAAAAAATAATCGAGCGAAAAGTGAGCTCCTACAGATAAGACTAATGCAAAAAAAAGATAATGTCATATTATTGGTCTTTGATTGTACGCTCATATGTGAAACTATGATATCGTATCATGTCCCTAATTAGAGTCAAGTGTGAAACAAAAAAGAAATTCTAAGAAGTCAAGGGAAGCACCATGACAAAAAAATTTATAACCAACCGGTAGATAAGCAGTGATTGGTCAAATGTTCCCAGCACTAATTCAGTGATGCCGTCACAGTTGAGGTCACCTACGCAGGATGAGGTTACAATGTCATGATCGGCACTATTAGGAAGAACTAACTGATTGCCCAGATCCATGCGGTTAAGGAGGAAGACGTTCCTAAATGAGAAATAATGCAAATATTAGACCGAACTATTTGTAACAAAAAAGTAGAAATTTCATGCGACATACATACACGATAGAGTACCTAAATACATTCGTAAAATAAATAAAGTGTAGAGGCGACTTACAAGTATACAGCAGCAGATTCAACACTAGAACAGACTAGAAGACTGAAATCCTCTGGCTCAGCCTTCGAGACTAAATCGTCTGAAAAGAAAATAATAAGAAGGAAATTTATAAAGATTATTTTGTTCATTAAATGGAAGGTAGGATCTTTTTCGAAAAAGGAATACAAATTTAAAAATTAATCATTGATCTGGATAAAAAGGCAATATCCATTGTGATGTAGTGTCTGATATTCACAATAAACATCAAAAATTAGCAAATGATAAACTTATTTTAGAGTATCTTGTTACCCTTATCTGTGCCAAGTTCCTTGCTCGGTCATCCGGAAATGAGGCGGTAAAATTAAATTTTTTTAGAATCTGATATTTGTTAAATATAGATAAGTGTCTTAGCATTCGCTTACGGAGATCAAGGACTGATATTTTTGGGGACTTTCACTTCTTATGAAAGAGCATGATGAAAAGATTCGAAGGCCTATATCACCAAAGACGACGGCTTATTCCAGTTTTGCTGAGGCGGTTTGGCTTTAATAAGACGTTTAGAATGACGCAGTCCACAAGACATCCTCTCTCTTTACGTGCGAAAATACTAAGCCTTCGTCTATCGTATACTGGATATCATCAGAGCCGGAACTAATTCTTGTAAAAGTCTCAGGTTAGCATTAGGTTGAGAAGACTTTTCGGCTCTATCTTACGTCTTACATATATTCACAAATAAAAGGGAAAACCAATACACATGGATAGATATTGAATGAGTTGACTGATTCGCTTTCATATTGGACCTAGTATTTTTACTTGAGTGTATGTGCGTGTATTAGCGTCTATACGCAATACCGGTCCTGAATCTGAATGAGTAAAAAAGCCTAATGTCAAACTCGGATAATCAAGCCTAGTTTTAAATAAATCACACGATACCTGGCCAAGTTCCCTATCAGTGAACCTGAATATATCAAAACGCTTACCTAGAAAACGATATCAGGGAGCAAAATTATGAGGAATACAAAGTTTTATTGGAAGACGTACAAGTTAACCCTGAATTACGGGTTAGATATATGGATGAGTATTTTGTCATCTGGCAGCATGGCAAGGAAAGCTTAGATCGTCTACTTGTTTCACTCAACCAATGCGAAAGGAACATTAAGTTCACAATGGAAATAGAAGAGGGTAGGCCCTTATTCGTTATGGATGTTCTGATCATTAGAGAAGAGGTGCTTATAGGAAGCCAACGTATGTTGACCCTTCTAAATTTTATTTTCAAAAAAGGTTACAAAGCTAGGATTGTAATTTTTAAGTCAATGCTCATTGGAAATATGAAACTAGCAGATAGCAACAATTTAACTAGAGCCGGAATAGCAGAACAATTTATTACTGGAAAATAATTATCCTGTGGCTAATTAATAATAATATCTCTTTATTGAGGAATTAAGTATTGAAGTTGTTTGACCTTGTTTTCGCAACTTGGTCATATTGGTAGGAAGACTTAGAGGAACTCACCTAGTCC